GTCTGCGGGCATGCCCGTGTTGATGCACGAATGTGTATTTTTGCCGTTGCTGCTTTCGCGGTCAATGTAATATCGCAGACGCACCCCTACAATTACGAGGCGAATTGGAATGGTCCAGAAAAACGCGTTAGTTTGGAATAGCAGTGGGGTTCAAAAAAGTTCATGCAGATACGGGGTGGTTTTTATAAGTGGTTCCAGTATGTTTTTGCCCATGGTTAAGAGATGCCAAGTTTTTTGGAAGATGTTCGCAGCCAAAACGCATTCTTCCGTACGTCGCATTTCTGTGTAATTTCGCATGTGGTGTTGCATTATGTCCGGGATGATGCACGTCTTTTTATTTTTACCGTAGCTGTTTTGATATTGGAGTAAATGCTTATTTTCGAAACATCCCCATTTCTTTGAAATGGTTTCGTCCGTTTATGCAACTGTTACCGCGCTAATGACGACCTGTCGCGCTGTCCTGATACACCGCGAATGTGCGAGTGTTCCCTGTAGACAGTCCCGGGAGTCATTTTTTTGCACATTCCAGGAGCCAAACCAAAATACGTTCATGAACCGAGTCCAAAAAACCGAAACGTGAAAATCGGATGATCGGACCTGATGTACATTCCTCTTTCTATAGATTGTACACACAATACACACATCTTTAGATAATCTGGCCATGGCAAGGTTAAAAAAAAGTAACCCTGAATCATACTAGATTAGCGTAAATGCATGTTAATGCGTTACAAAACAGAAAAAAATTGTTTCCGGGTATTAATCTCTTGAATCACGGCGCTGAATATTGACGCAAAATATTTCGGGCATCGCGCGCCCTTCCCGCGTCACGTGTAGGCATCTCGCATCTCTGATTGGTTGTTGCGTCTTAAGATGACTGAGCCGACGCGCGTTTAAACAATTTTTCTTTGTTCGATTTATCACACTTCACAGAGAATTGTCGCCAATGGCTACTTCTTTTTGTTGCAATATATAATACTTCACGGAGAATTGTCGCCTATGGCTTTCTTTTTTTCATTCTTCAAATTGCAGATTGTGTAATTTTATCCTGAAATCTTGAGAATCTATCTGCAAATTGCAGACTGAAGACGGGTATTTAGAACACTGAATACATGAAGTGTGCGGGGGGGCATGATGTCCGATCACCGGATCATGATTTTTTTTCGCGTTGACCCTGATTCAACCCTAAAATAATACTCGAAGAGAACTTAAAAAGTCATCTTTTACTAATCATATATAATTGTTTACATTATATCATTTGATCAACCTGATCTATTAAAAATTGTCAATGGAAAATACCTTGCCAAACAATGCAATACCTATTTAAGTTAATTAAACACTCACTCATTAATTAATTAATTTCCTAAATACAAAAGACATGTTGGTGAAAGTTAGGCACCCAGGTAATATCAATAGTTCCACGGACAGCTATGTAGGCCGGAGCTTCTATTGCGTGCGATCTACGTTTTGGTCAGAAAATACACCCCCCCCCAACACACACACACACAAAACACCGATCCGGGAACGCCTGAAAAGGAGGCTTTTTAATAAGCTTTGCCTGCAGCGCCTTGATTGGTCGGACGTGTGACCCTCTGGACTGCCGGCTAATGGAAATCTGAACATCTAGACTAATCCACACTGCTAATGCTCATTGACATAATTTATGCAGTTTATTAAAATCCTTGATTACTGTGAATCCTTGATTATAGACATGTCTTTATCAACATTTTTGGCAAATAATAAAATCAAGTTATTGTTCAAGACAAATTAAGTTTGTTTTGTCAGCAGCTTTGTTATGCAACATTAATAGAACTATGATTTTGAAATTAGCAACCATAATGGAAAGTATACAAACGTCCAAGGCATAAATGGTAAAAAGTGCACTCGCAACAACGACATCTAGCGACATGCGGCAACTCAGCATGTCTGCATGGCCGTCGCAACAACGACATCTAGCGACATGCGGTGACTTAGCATGTCTGCATGGCCGTTGAAGGGTGGAACCGTTGATCCATCCATCCGTTGATCCAATCTCAATCTCGTCTGAGTTACCATTTTCGCGCATGCGAAAATGGTAAAAAATTACTATTGGTGGCTCACTTTGATGCTAGGGACTTCTGATTTAACATATAAAATTGCACTTTATATAATATACTAAATACTCTTCTGTAGAATACATTAATCCCAGAGAATTTTACCATGATAATTACCCACAAGTTGCATTAATTTGATTGCTAAGATAATATGTCTAAGAATCTGTATCAGCATCAGTATAGCCAGCATAACCACCCTTTGGCATAACACACCAGCTTGCAAGAAACATCCAAGAATGAAAATCTACTGTCCAGGAACAAGTATTTTACTGTATGGTGATTTCCTGTAAGGTTATGTAACTGTGTTGTTGTAATCAAGGGTTTCTTATTAAGGTGTAGCTTTATCTACTTCACCTATATCGAGCAAAATGACAAGGAATATTATCATAGTAGTACTAGGTACATGTTTAAGATAATTCTCTTTCTGTGGTGTTTCTTTTGTTGTAGAATTCTTGTAACAATATTACTTAATATACAGTCATTTAACTGTATTGTAGTTATGGATTTAGTATATTAAATAAGGCTATACATGCATATAGCAGTTCCAGTAGGATGTACTGTGTGTGTGTCTGTAAGTGTCTGTGTGTCTGTGAGTACTTACAGGGTTGGGCCTGTTGGCGTGTAGGTAGGACTTGAGATCCCCCTGGTCCATGAGTTCCAGTATGATGTACTGTGGGTTGTGTGTGTGTGTGTGTGTGTGTGTCTGTGTGTCTGTGTGTCTGTGTGTGTGTGTACTTACAGGGTTGGGTCTGTTGGCGTGTAGGTAAGACTTGAGGTCCCCCTGGTCCATGAGTTCCAGTATGATGTACTGAGGGTTGTGTGTGTGTGTGTGTGTGTGTGTCTGTGTGTGTGCGTGTACATGTATGTTGTACTTACAGGGTTGGGCCTGTTGGCATGTAGGTAAGACTTAAGATCCCCCTGGTCCATGAGCTCCAGTATGATGTACTGTGGGTTGTTGTCCAGACAGACCCCCCGGAGAGCCACGATGTTGCCGTGCTTGAACTGACTCATCAGGTGGGCTTCTTTAAGGAAGTCTCCCTTTTCTTGGTCGGTCGCGCCTTTGTGGAGGGTCTGAGATGGAGAAGTAATAAAACAAATTTAACTTGTTGGTTGTTTGATTTAAAACGATGCTTAACTGGACAAGTATAATGAAAACTGGAAACAGCATCTGCAAACAAATGCATAATATATATTATGTTTACCATCACATGCTCTAGCCTAACAAACTACTGCTCTGTTTGTTTTTACTCAAGCATATTCAAGCATATTCATTATATGGTGACAGGTTCCAATTGTCCTTCAAAAAGGAACTAAGCAAAAACAATATATTTTCTTTCTGTGAATTTTAAGGTAAACATAATAGATATAGATAATAATAGATATAATAGATATGCAAACTTTGGCATTGACTTTCTCCCTGCTGCCTAATTCTGTAAGCAATTGTTAGTGAGATGGCTACTTCAGTGTGCTAATGATTGACTTTCTCACTGCTGCCTAACTCTGTTACTGTGTAATTGGTAGCCGAAAAGCTGTTTACCTGTGTTATCATATTAAAAGTCTAAAGGTACATGTATGTACTCAAACAGGCTGTTGTATCATTAACTATTGGACTGGCCCTGTACACAACCTGGACTTTGACTTGGGGCGAGGCTGCCACGTAAGCATTAGGAAGAAAATCATGGCGGCTGCATCAAGTTTTCCGGGAGAGATTCAAGAAGATGTGACCTGTAGAATCTGCCTGGAGCTGTTCACCAGGCCCAAGGTGCTGCCCTGTCAGCACACCTTCTGTCAGGACTGTCTACAGAGTGTTGCAGGGGAGGAAGAGACTTTCCAGTGCCCAATCTGTCGGTATGAGGTTGTGGTGCCATTCGAGGGGGTTGCAGGTTTGCCGGACAATCGCATGGCTAGAGATCTGTGTGAAAAGCTGAGAAACCTACATTTTGTACCAATATTGTCACAGGAAACAAGGAAGCAACCCCAGTGGAAACAGGGAAACAGGTGCAGTTTTCATCCCTCAAAGGAAGTCAAGCTCTACTGTAAACGGTGTGACTTGCCAGTTTGTAGCAAGTGTTTAGAAGAAGGCCATGATGAACATCCTACCACGGGCCTTAAAAAAGCTGCAGAGGAAAAGAAATCTATAGTCCAGGCTTTGATCCATGAGGGGCAGAACATAAAGGAAAGAAGCTTAAGGGAACAACAGCTGCAGACCCTGAATAAACAGAAGCAGCAGAGAGACAAAAGCATCACTGAGGCCTACAACCAAACAAAGCAGACAATGCTCCAGAAACTCGAAGAGAGAAAAGACGAACTCTTGAGAGAATCACAACAACATCACATTAAGGGCAAGGCTGAAATAGACAAAGTGTCGGCAGATGTTGATAAACTGTCTGCTGCCTGTCGTCAAGCAGAAGAAGAACTGCAGCTCAAAGGAGTCGTGTTTCTTAGTCAGCAAACCACTCTCACAGAGGTGGTAGGAAAGTACAGAGGAAAAGCAGCACCAACTCCTGCTGTCTTTCAGCCCGCACGCACCCCCGTGCTAGTATTAGGACATGTGAGGGACCAGTCTCTCCCATCTGCACAAATCCGAGCGGCTGCAGAGGGGAGTACAGGTCATCACCATGGTAACCATGAACAAGAGGAGCATCAGCCTCAGATGGTGACATTTGGTGAACAAGGAGCAGGACCAGGACAGTTCAAGAAACCACACGGTGTTACAGTGTCAGATGAAGGGGAGATTTTTGTTGCAGATGAGAACCAGAGAATCCAAGTCTTCACCCTGCAGGGAGAATTTGTCCGAGAGTTCCCAACAGTCGTGTCAGGTGGACAGAAGATGGAAGCATTTGATGTGGCCATGGACAGGGAGGGGAACCTGTGGGTGGTGGGGTGTGTGTGGGTTGGGAGCTCTGCTAACTTTGGTGTACAGTACAACAAACAGGGCAGGGTGCTGGGGAAGTTTGACCTACAGAATACAGGGTGGGGGAGAGGAGTTGCCATGGACACCAGGATGAACCACCTCCTCATCACACAAACCAAAGGAGACGGCGGCAACCGACATGGTAAAGTGAAGACGTACATGTACATGTACAGGCCGGATGGAACACATGTGAAGGGAAAAGGCTTGAAGGTATCAAGCCATTCAAGGCAGCAGAGGATGGCATATCCGTGGTACATCACTGTGGACCAGAAAGGGAACATTCTTGTATCAGACTATGACAATCACTGTATCTATGTGTACAAACAGGATGGAGAGTTTCTGTTCCAGCTTGGAGGTGAGGGAAGTGGTGAAGGTCAGCTGAAGCATCCCCGTGGCATCTGTACAGACATGGCAGGTAACGTCATTGTTGCAGACATGGGAAACAACCGTGTGGAGATGTTCGATAAGACAGGAATATTCCTCAAACACATCACTACTGACACGATACTGCCATGTGCTGTTGCTATGGCACCACAGGGACAGCTGATTGTGACTGATTATATGAAACACACAGTCACCATATTTCAGAACTACTGAGCTGTTCATACTAGAATGCCACAATGAAATGGTTATGGTGGTAAACAAGTATAACATGAGACTCATGTATTCTCAAAGCAACACACCTTGAAATGGAAACAATTTCTCTGCAGTGAACATTCAGGTATGCCGGAACAATGCATACCATATTCAAAACTGAAAACAAACAAGATCCACACAAGTCTCGACCTAGTCTCGTGTTCTCACAAGACTAAGTCACTCCGTGAACAGGTGCACAGTCAACACCGAAAATTTGGAGGTACGTGATTTTACCTTACAAAAACAGTCACTGATTGAAGAATATTCTACTAACTGTTAATTCTACGTGACTGGTGAACCTCTTCAATGAAAACAAACTCTCATGACTACAATGTACATGTAGGAAGACTTAATAATAATATCAATTATCCAGTAAACAAAGATGTGCTGTGGATGAATGTCTGTTGTGAGCCCACAATGTTCATTACTGGTGCCACGTACTGTAGAATACTACTGCATTGTAAAATCCACTCAGATCAAAGATCAAAGTGCATGTTAATGTTAATGTTACATAAGGTAAGCAGGACTTTAGCCCTCTTCTCTAAACAATATCTTACACTAGTTTTACACAGAAATGTTCAGAATTACTTCTTTAACGATAAAAAATGGTTAATTGGTCTCAAAATGGTCCTTCTGTTATCTTTTTTGAAACAAGAAATTTTAAAACTTTTTAGAAATTTTTTTTAGAACTTTTGTTAGTTACCTTTTGTTTATTTTGTTAAGAACACTCTTTAGAACTATTGACTTTTTTTCTTTATTTAGTACTTGTTTCCCATTTCAAAAAAATCTTTGTAAACATTCACTACCCTAATACTGATGAAGGGTGCTGGATCAAAAATCTATCCAGTTTGAATTAATTTAATCAAATTAATCAATTTAATCAAATTGTTAAGAAATTTTAAAGTTTGCAAAGAAGACAAATGTTCAGCAATCTGAACTGATTAAAATGAAATGTAATGATAAAGAACTTGGACTTCTGTATTTTTACTGAAATATAATTCTGGCTATTTTGTGAAGTATTATTTGAATTGCTGTTTTGGGTATTGTACACCCTTTTTGTTCTTTAATTATACATGTATTTACAGAATGATAAAAGACTCTTGTCCTTCTTTGAATAATAAAACCGTACAATGTATGTGAATGCAAACAACTTCACTTACCTCTTGCACAAATATACCTGTTAAAATCTCCAAGTGTCAATTATTACATTACTACAGCTTCTTAAGAACCAATTCAATTCCTTATAACGTTATTATGTTTACCGAAGGAAACATATTATATTTGCTCTATTTCCTATTCCTCTTCCTCCTCTTCCGTTCCAAACACCTAAAAAACGTCCATATTTTCGTAATTAGAGCTTGGAGGAAAATGAAATTCAGCATGCTAGTAGGTTGATACGTTAGACATTGAACCTTGGCCATTTTGGCCAACATAGATGTCAGAAAATGACTTTATTTGCAAAAAATGGGTGAAAAAAGTTGCATTTTAAGCCAAAAATCGAACAAAAAGAACGCGTTTGGAACATTCGAACAACCATGGAACAATGGAACAGCGTGTTCGATAACCGCGGTCAATGACCCTAGCGCTACGCACGGAGCACCCGAGCTTTCCAAATATGGGCATCCGCCCTTGTATGACACGAGAAGAGATCGGTGAATCAATGTCAGCGGTAAGTTTTCATTTTTCTTCGTAAAATACGGTCATATGAATACCAGTCTCGAGTAGAGAATATTGCATTGGGATTTTGGGTTCAATATCCACAAGTAGGACTGCAGATTTCCACAGAACGCCGGCGACTTTGTGTAATTTTTTGCATGTCACCGCCGGCTCAAATAAAAAAAAAACACTCATAATTTACACTAGCTCCTGACTTGATAGAATCTCGTATGTATAGAGATTTAGGCTTGCTGCCGTTTTGAAAATAAAGTAAACAGAATTGTGTTCATCTGTAACTATTGTCGACTTTGTAATGTGGGTGCGGGGCCGGGGGGCGTTTGTTTACGTTTATATAAACATGGATGTGACATTACATTTTGTCGTTTTGTCAGACAGTTTCAATCTTTTTCGGGATAATACAGTACAGTTTATGGGATAAGCATCAAATCGGGATTCATCGGGATATCCCGGGATTTTTCGGGAACCATGTTGACTAAGATTTTTACAGACAGACGGTGCGGCGCATGTTTGTTTCCAAATTATGCATGATGATAACATTAGCACAAACGGCTAGTGTTATTAATCAAATATTTCTTTTTTAATATCGAAAATTTTAGTGGCTTAATAATGTTTAGAACGATAACAAAATAATACAACCTTCTTGGTACGAGAATTTCTGTCTGACCTTGCGATGTGGACGGCCCTAAGTACTGCTTTTGATGTCACCCGACCCGCGCTATCTCAGATATAAAATCTAACACATCCACGTGCCATGTCGCGAGAAGTTCATTTTTCTCCTAGATAGGGGAGGTCGACGCACGGAGCTGCGGAAGGGAGATTAAACATTATACAAAAGAGGGGGGGC